CGTGTTTGGATTTCTTTGATTCGATCCTCGGGCGGCCTGAGCATGCCCCTCTTGCTCGTCGGTGAGCTCAAGGTCCAGGTCTCCGAACTCCAGAAGACAAGGGTTCTCGCCCTCCTCGTAGTCCTCGGGCAAGTCCTCGACGCGGAAGCAGTCGCCGTCTGGGGCGCTCCAATCGGTCACGGGCGGCTCGTTTTCGAGCCAGCGCTGGGCGCCCCCCAGGCGCTCGCTCGCCAGCCTCGGCTCGGCGCCGCGGCTGGGCTCGACGGAGTAGCTCCAGTGCCCCAGGCCTGCGACGCGCTCGAGCTCGCCCTGCTCGGCCGGCCGGACCGCGAGCACGCGGTTCGCTCTCCGCCCCTGGATCGGCGCCGCCTCTTTGTGTTCGTCGCGGAACCGGGCGTTGGCATCGGGGACGCAGTAGAGGCACTCGTAGAGCTCGTGGGTCGGGTACTTGTACTTTCCTCGGGCTCGGCCTTCGCCGTCTGGACCCAGTCTTGCTGCGTAGCCCAGTGCATCTCAGCGTTGACCTCTCGGGTCGCGGCTGTGAGCTGGCTGTGTTCGCGGGCGTCTGGCTCCTGCAGGAAGCTCGCGACGTCGGGGGCCATGAGCGCCTGGGCCACATTCGCGAGCCACGATCGGAGCGCGACGGCCACGGTCCACTGGTTAGAGAGGCCGTGGGCGCTCTCCAGGCTCTGACCGTGCTGCTCCTTGATGAAACCGATGGTCCAGGAAGCGATGGGCTCGTCCGTCTAGGCCCTCGGCTGCCCCCGCGCGTCGATGGCCTCGAAGAGTCTCGCGCGATCCTCTTCGAAGAACTCGAGCAGAGCGTCGCGTCAGCCCTTGAGCAGTGCGCTAGGGGGGGCCGCCTGCTCATAAGCACCCCGTCTTTCCGTCGCCCCGCTCGTTGGCGGCGTCGCGCCGCCAGATACCCTCCTCGAGGTTCGCGCCGCTCACGCGGCAGTGCTTGGCGCTGGGGGCGAGGGGCGCGCTGCGCTTCCTGGCGGGCATGGGTCTCCTGCTCGGGTCGAACCAGCCCTCGACGGCGGAGGTGCTGATGAGTATAATCCTGCGCTTGTCCCCGGCGCCCGAGTAGGCTCGGTCCACGCGCCCCTTCTGGTCGGGGTGCCCTGCCGAGGACTGGGCCGTCTCGGCTCTGAAAGCTGCCTTGCCCTCTTGGCCCCTGCATCTCGCGGAACTTGCAGCGGAGGCGCCTGGGGCGTAGATCTCGCTCTCGTGGACGCGCGCGGCCTCCGCGCCGCGGAGCTCGAGCCAGAGCGCGGCGACGTCGACGCAGACCGCGCTCGCCGCTCGCGCAGGCCCTCTGCTCGGCGAGGGTCTCGGCGCCCCCGACGAAGAGGCTCAGGTCCTCCATGCCGCCCCCTGCCACCAGGTGCAGGAAACTGTCGGTCGTGGCCCAGGTCAGCTTGGCCTTCTCCTTGCAAGGCGTCTGGTTCCTCTGTTCGGAAAGGCGCTGGCCCTCGCGCTCGCCCGCCCGCTTCTGGTCTTTCTTGCGCCGCCGGTTGATCTGGGTGGTCTGCGGGCAAATGGCAACCTCTTGTGGACCTCGGCGTTGGAGCTCTTGTGTCCGGCCTGTCTCAGGTGGAGTTGCTGGCCCTGCTCGATCTCCAGCTCGTGGCGCGCCCGCGTCAGGGCCGCCCCCCCCCTGACCTCGCTGCCGCGCTCGCGCCCCCGCTTGAACCGGCGCCCCACGCGGCGCATGACACCCTCGAGCGGGCGGTCGGCGGTGACCAGAACGGGCACCTCGCGGGAAAGCCTGGCGCCTTCGCCCACGCGCTCGCCGCGGCTGGGGCGGACGCACCCGCGGCCTCGGAGGCCGTTCTCGCCGAGCCTCGTCGGCGACCCTCGTCTCGAGTGCCGTGCGAAGCCCGCGCCATCTCGCGACCGTCTCGCGGTTCCAGCGACGCTTCTTGCGCGGCTTGGCCTTGGCGGCGCTGGGCAAGAGGGGCAGCTCGCTAACGCCATGTTCGTCGGCGTGCTTGTTCCGGTCGAGGGAGACCTGGAGCTTGGGTTGCGCTGGTGGGTCTCGCTCGCAGCGCTCGATCACCCCTATCCGGTCCTGCGGGCCGAGCGCCGTGCCCTCGGTGCTCGCCAGCTTTCGGCTCGCGGCCGGGGTCACTTGTCGCTCTTCGGGAGGGGGGATGGGGGCGTGAGTTGTTTCTTTCTTTCTTTCGTAGTAGGAGTAGTAGTAGGTATAGTAGCAGTAGTAGTAGTAGTAGTAGTAGTAGTTGTTGTAGTAGTAGTAGTAGTAGTAGTAGTAGTCGTAGTAGTAGTAGTAGTGGTAGTAGTAGTAGTAGTAGTAGTAGTAGTGGTGGTAGTAGTAGTAGTAGTAGTCGTAGTCGTAGGCGTAGTAGTAGTAGTAGCAGTAGTAGTAGTAGTAGTAGTAGTAGTAGTCGTAGTAGTAGTAGTAGTAGTAGTAGTAGTAGTGGTAGTAGTAGTAGTAGTAGTGGTAGTAGTAGTAGTAGTCGTAGTCGTAGTCGTAGTC